CTGCAAAAGCTTCTCCCCCCAATCCAATGGATATATAATCACGATAGTGATCAGGATAATATAGACGATTTCCTCAATCCCAATTGGACGCTAGCTGTTCACGACACGACAATTTGGCCAGTGAAAGGCTGTGCAGCTTGGGTTCTCAAGTCCAATTACAGTACTTGATAAAGTCTATAATATTTAATAGCCCAAGTAATGGCCTGTTTACGAAGGCTGGAAAGTAGGATTGAACTCGTTCGTGTCAGGTCCCGACTTCATGTTGTGTTATGTGACGATTTTCCAGCTGTGTGAGAAGCGCAGAAAAACTGCAAGACATGAGCACCTCAGAGGTGTCAGAAGCCTCTCGAAAATGAGTCAGAATGAATCAGAAGCCTCTCAAGGCGTGCACATCCCCAGAATCGATCGCTTGCAAGATTCATTGCGGCCATCCCGGAGAAAAAGGCAACCTCGATGGCATTTCTCATGTTTTCCCAAACAAGGGAATTCCCAAAAGGAGTAAATGCACATGGCTATATTGTGATCCCCAAAAAGATAGAACTGGTTTCCAATACACTTTAGTGGGGATCTACTTCTCTATCTATATGGCGGGCGTCTATATTATATACATGTCATTACATGGCTCAATTCCCTTGATCAGTTCATGGCCGAAGCCGTGCCAGGTGGTGCTTCCGGCTTATCGACCTACCGTCACCAAGCTGGACCCCCAAACCGACCTCGGCAGTGGGGGCGGGGGTCTTCAGCTAGAGCTGGAGACAAGTTACCAAAAGATGAGAAGGAGCAGTCTGATGTGCTTGTTGAATTCAAGTCTCATGAGTTGATGGGATCTGATGATATTGGATCGATCTATCCAGTGCGGCTTTGGGATCTTGGCTTCGGTTTTTCTTGGTCACACGTACTGGCAACACCGTGCAGGTTCCCCATAGTACTTATCAGTGGAGAGGATGACTCATATATGTTTAGTGGCACATATTCTGAATGGGCTTCGTGTATGAACGTAGATGTACGTGTGGAGGGTTTTCTCAGGGGGGATTGAGATCTTGCATGATGAGCAATGTGGGCGTAATTTCGGCCCAGTGCCTTGGATGCATTCCGGACATGGACATGGACTTGTTTTTGTATTCAACAGTGTGGTTTCCAAAGTGACCTGATTTCGTTTCTATATATACACCAGATTTACGATGATGCTGCATTGGCATCATTCTATTCATCATTTGGTTCAGTGAATAGACAGGTTCAAACCGATGGAGCTGAACGTCCTCGGAGATTCCCACGGAATCGCAGAGCATCTGCTGCGGACCTGCCAGGTGCCACTTTGACAAGCTCTTCTATTGGCCCGGGACACTCAGGCTTCAGGTCCGTTTTTTGTTTTTCGAGCCCCCGGGACACTCAGGCTTCAGGTGTGTTCTTGTTTTAGGCCAACGAGCCAAGTGTCATTGAAGTTTTGCATCTTGCAAAATGATGACATGATTTCCATGTCACAAGTGAGTTCTTTGTCCCAGAATGGTCCCTACAAGTCTTTTTGATGTGCGGGCCAAACTCTATGATGATGTCCTCCTAGCCCGCCGGCCAATGCTACACGTGCAGGTTCCATGTTCCTACTGCAAAGAAACCATCAGATGTTCATCAAATCATATAATAACAAAATAATATCTGAGATATATATCTTGGAAACAGCTGTAACTTCAATCATTGCCAAAACAAGCAGATCGATACGCCCATGTTTGAGTTTGGCATGTTTGTTTGTTTTTTTCAAAAGAGAGCTGCTCATCCCCAAGTCATGATGGCTCGTCCCTCAAGTCATAGTCCGTTTTTTTTGAGCATTCTCTATTTTTTTGCATAATACTGTAATCCACTAATTATTAGGACAAAGTGACAATCGCTTGATTCTATAGTGTTCCCTAAGTTAAGAGCCAAATTAGATCCTTCACCATGAGGAGTACCATAGCTAGGTCTTGCAGATGCTTCATGTCTCAGGATCTTTTTTGTGCCGATGTCACAGAATGCAATTAAGTATACCTGACTGTCTTGCAAGAGACCACCTGACTGGGTGTTTGTGGTGTTTTCAGACCTGCAACGACCTGCACGGTTCCGCACGGTTCCGTGGTAGCGGTGCGGTCCAACACTATGAAAGGTGCGGTGCGGAACAGGGTTTCGATTTGTGACTGGTTTGATCAAAGAATTTGACCAAACCCGACCAATTGGTTGAAGAATCTGACTAAAATCTGTTGACCAGAGCCAATCCAACTAGCCAATCCAACTTGGTTTGACCAATTGATTCCTGCTTGAGGCCTGGGCTTCCCATGGAGTGTGCGGTGGTCTTCGAGGAGGGCCAGGTGCACCGTTCCCGCAGGGCAGAGAGACCTAGAAGCTGAGCTGACCCACCACCCTTGGCAGCTCAAAACTGACACATTTTAGGTTCGTTTCGATGGTCTCAATGGTTCAGATATGTTCAGATGGTCTTTACAATAGCAAAACAAGGAGAGACTTCTTCCACGTCAGCGCCGACTGAGCGCTGTGTTCCTGCCGACTGGGACCAGGCGAGCTTCTTCTTACATCGACAGCAGAGCATGCTCCGACGCCGCCGTGGGGAGCCCGGAGGGACTCCGTTCGAAGGAAAGATTGGAGCTCCGCCAAGGTTGGAGATGCTTTCCCAAAACGTGTCCCACATGCTCAGGTCATCTCAAAGTGTTTTTTTGGTTTGAATAAACATGTATATAAGTTTCTTTGTGTGATGGTTAAGCCGCCACCTTTGAGTGGTGGATCCTGCCTAAGTTTCGAAGAACCCTCAGCCTGAGGTGTTGATGGGCACCAGAGTGATCTACTCTCAGCGGCCTTCTTGCAGGGTGCCCAGCAAGTTGTTGGTTCAGAATCACTGGCACGAACCGACTACGTAGGAGCTTCCTTGGACTTGAGATCTGGGTTGCAATGAAGAAAGACACGTCTTGGCATTTGTGCCATCATATGCCATCTACTTGATAAGTGAGTGGCCCTGCTTGTTCCACAACGACCTGTGTGTGTGGAATCCCAAAAGGGGATCTTTGGGATCAACGAGACACTCGAAAAGAGCGCAGGCTTCCGGTGTAGAGCACCGGACCGGACCTATGCGACAAGTCGCAGTGTGAGAAGCAAGACCCAAAGAGCCAAAGGGCTTTCATTCTATATTATATAACTTGATTTTAATGATGGACGGTCTTCTGGGCATGGCTTTGTGATGTGCACTCTCCCGACACTAGCAGAACGCAAGTCGTGAAACATGAGACAACATGTTTCAATCTCCGATGTACTGCATGAATGTTTATGCTGCCATTCTCCTTTCATGAGGGTGCTGCTTGTCAGCCTGTTGGCTAGCGGCTTAGAGCTTTGAAGCAAACCCGTCCAAAGCTAATAGATCGGTAATATCTATAATATATATATATATATATATTACATGTTATGTATATCCCACATACCATGTTATGCGCAATTTCGGAGTATCCCACATACACCATGTTATGCGCGATTTCGGAGCTGACTTGGAGCGCAGGAGCTTGGATGTGTCCAACTGTTCTTTGAATCTTTGTCTTCCTTCGCTTTCGCTCACACATGGACTTGTCCACCGCCTACCGTATTCTCATACCATCTCATACCAACTCATCGCTTCCCAAACAGATCGATTTGAGACGCTTTGAGACGCTTTTCTCCGGACTGACCTCGGTGGTTTCAGGGAGAGCTAAGGCAGGACATCAATTTGGTGGTGACCTCGGGGAACGACAAGACCTTGTGCTTTTGGGCCGGGGCGCCCGACGAGAGACGGCGACCGGCAGCACCCGACCGTCGGAGGGGTCGACCGTGCTGTCGACCGTCTCGGAGCTGGAAACGTCGCAGGACGACGACGGTGCTTTCAACATCGACTATAGATGGGGAAATCGTTGCTGTATCTCAGTACTTACTTTTACATGCAGCGAGTTCCACTGTCCCAATGTAGACTCTTGATGATTAAGCCCAGACACATTGGTTGCGCGGACTTGCGTTTCAAGGCTCTCACTGGATCGCCCCTTGCTCTTTGGTAGAGCGGGTACGGGTGGGTCTTTGCCTCGAAAAGAGAGTGAGTGAAAAACAGCTGAGCTCTTCATATGGAGGGGTCTATTAAATCAAGTGGACACTAGAGTAGTATCCAGTTCTGAAGCTTGAGCTTGAGACTTTGTGGGGACCCTGGGTGTTTTCATGTCGCCGTGCAACAGATTTTTGGGGTGTTCTCCAGGAGCCGCGCAGAAAAGGGATGTGCATGAGCTGAAACTGCAGGGTATGTAGGTCGGATGGGAATTTAAAGAGGCATTATAGTTGAATATGTAAACGATGAAGTTTTTGGTGAAGTGAAGTGGAACACCGAGCATGTAGTTTCACACCATTAATTTGACTCCAAAGCACAAACCAGGACAGATATAATCCAAAGACACCTTGCACCAATCAATTTGCGTTGGTCCAATACTCAGTGCCCAAGACCTCGCGAATCTGTTGCTTTTGCCCAAGACATCCGAAGACGATCATCAGGAGTCGGTCCCAGTTGATCTCACTTCTCACCAAGTCGTGAACACGTGACTTCGACTGTTCTCCTCGTCCACGGAACAGGTTGATCCGTTGATCGTACACCCCGGGAAAAGGTTGATCTGACCGGCGGGGATCTGATCAAAAGGAACTGAGGACCCTCACAACCCCCCGAGTAGTGGACCGGACCAACATGTGGGTGGCTCAATACAGGGGTCTCCCTGCTATAGGCAATGATTTCTGACCTGGAAGAATCTGGAGGTTGAAATGGACCAATTGAACAAATTGCTTGGATGTCTTCCTGAAACACACACCCTGAAATGTTTGAAAAAGATCCCTTTCTCGCCCCTGGCTGGGTCGGCGGTTCCGACTGGTTGATTTTCTTTTCCAGACGTCTAAGGTCCCTTCAGTTGCTTCAGGTCCCTTCCGGGGTCCCTTCCGCAGTCCCCCCGGAGCTTTTCGGACCGAGCGGGGTTCGCTCCTCAGCTTTGGCTCGAGCGTTGGACCGAAAGTGCTCAGCGAACGGAGACGACCAGCTGCGTCCGGCGAAGCTTGGACTTCACAGAGTCGGGTCCCGTCGGGGCTTCAGAGATCTTCGGAGATCATTTTGCGGAGGATTTGCGTTGGATGTGAGTGGATGTTGCAGTTGTGGGCTGAACGTTCCGCCTCCAAATCCATTCCTGAAAAACTTTGTGCAAGCCCTGGCTGATTTTTTTTTGTCCAAACCATTTGGACACCTCACATGTGGGCTGCTGGCTTTGTGAGATTCCGGGAGGTCACGACCATCCTTTCCCTGGTGCGTTTTCTTTCACAAAACGATCGTTGAACTACGACGACCTGACATCGGAGAGTAACATACATCATACATCGAAAAAAAGAACATATGACTGACATAAAGCTGTGCAAAGGTTCACGGTTCTGTAGCTTTTGTTTGTTTAGGATTTGGATGATTTGGTTTCCAGGATATGTGTATATCATTAAGTCAACATTGAATATGTTATCGAAGTCCCTGCCTGCACCGCAGGAGTTTCTCCCATGAAATCTCAATACTACCTCTTGAGTTGTTTGTTTCGGTTTGAGGAATTCTGGCATGAAAGGAATATGGAGTTGCACACCAATCTGGCATGTGGATCCGTTCTTAGCAGCCAAGTATACCCAATAAAGCTCCCAGGTGGTTCGACATCAAACGGCTCCATGCCTGAGCGACATGGACAGATCCACAGGTTCTACTTTATAGATCTGGAAGTTCTACTCTACTTTCGATGGGACCTGAGAAACTCACACTGCCTGGGCGGATCGCATACCAGGCGCCATGGAGTCTGAGAAGGTCGTTGATGTGTGGTCCCAAGAGGCCTATCAGTCCTCCTACCGGACTTCTTATTGCAACCACGAGCAGAACTTCGCGGATCATGTGGATCGGGTGCAATCCTCCAATGCTGTCCGTTTGCTCTTGAAGAGTGCAGGACTTGACGTTAAGACTTTGGTAAAGGTGAGTGTGTTGTTTTGTTGGGATGAGTGTATGCAGAAGGTGTCAGACGACTTGGAAAACATCTTACGTAAATTTGAGACCATATATAATTATAGATGGGAAGCATGACAATATGTTTTCTACAGTATCCACCTAACTATATAATGTAAACAGAGTTGTAAACAGTGCTTCGTCCTTCACAGCTCCTGACCCCAAGATCCCCCATGTTTCGGCCAGCGCAGGAGACCCGGGCGCGGCCCTGCACATGGGCACATGGGATGAAGCCGCACGAACGGGCGAAGGCACCGAACGCGCCTCGGCGTGGATTCACGCAGCCACGGCTCCCACCGCAAAGGGAACGGAGCAAGGCTGGCCTTACTACCAGGTACAAGAAGCTACCCAAAAAACGGCTCGGAATCCTATAAAACTTGATCAAAATTCCCAAACGGCTTGGGGTGCCGAAACGCTCGCGTGACCGGAGTGCGGTCGGGATCATGGCGATGAGGCCATGCATGAGGCGATGGTGGATGGACTGTGGGGAACGCACCGACCATCCGCAGGGAACAAAAGCAACACAGTGGATGGATGGACATAGATGTGGGTGGGTAGGCGGGTGGATGGGTGCATGGATGGATGGATGGATGGATGGATCGGATAGATGATAGATGAATTCGATGTGCATGGACATAATACAGGCACTGGCACTGGTGCCAAATGGCACCAACTGGTGACCAATCATTCATCTCCATCCCATGTTAACTGGGGGAAGCGAGTATTTAATGTTGACATTATCTTGACCATGTACTGCCGCAAATGGTATGCATCAGAATGAGGGAACGGCCATGTCACCACTGTCACTGTTTAGCACCGGAAGATCAAACTAGCCAGGGAAGACACGGTGCTTGAAGCCAAACCTGGAGCCCACCGACACCTGACACCTATGGCCTAGGACCTGCTTCGCGGATGCTGGTGAAAGAATCTACCTACCGCGCCAGCTACCGGCATGATGGTTCCCTTCCGGACACTGGGGTTGGAGGGTGGGGGGGATTTGTTGTTTTGAACACCCTGTCTAAATGCACCATTTGACCATATTTGGCTAATCCAAGCAAAAACCAGGATAGGTGTGTGGCAAGAGGACAAGGAACTGGCAAATTGGAAACTCAGACTTGTGCTCCCCCAAACACATGAATCACGTACTGAAATCAATTGAACAGCGATAGGGACCACCAGCACCGATACCTTGAGATGCAAAAAGCTGACGCAGTGGCCGGACTCGTGTGAAACATTGGGAAGCAAGAGGGCCCACCCAGTTTGCAGTGGCAAGTGCGAGAAATGCAGTATGTTGTCATAACTTGCTTTTTTTGCTTCAAAAATAATCAATTTGGAGTTCTAGGATCAGGCCATGTCTTGACCCTTTCATCAGCACAAAGCCCAGATAAAGTTGTTGCTTTGATGGTGAATACCGAAACCACTCATAAGGCTGTTGTTTAACGAGAGAACTTGTAGCAGCCTATTTGAGAAAAAGGAACGTTGAACCAACAGACCAACAGTGGAACAGTGGGTATACAAGGGTTAAACATGGGTTACATATACATGTTGTTCATGTTGCTGGGATCGTGGCACCATGTTGCTGGGAGTCAGGACTTGGATCCTCACCTGGAGAGCTTTCGGCCCGTGGTGATTCCCAAACGCCCTCGCACATCGGCGGGGAGCTTTTGAAACCGGGCCAGCGCTGAGAGCAGCCAGTTGGGCCGGTCCAAATCACCCCATGGGGTTGCCAGTTGACCGATCTGGCTGCCAGCATGAAGACACAGAGAGTGGTTTGTTGCCTTATTGTTGAGACTCGACAAACCCCAACAATAAAACACAAACATGGGCTCGGCTCAGCTTAATGGTGTTTTTCATTCTGGCCTCTTTGTTGTTTTATTCTATTTGCGTTGGACTAGACCATGCTGTGTGTTGGCCCTGTGAATGACATCGAACGGACCTAAGAAAGAGCTCATGTGTGGTCCGCCCATTCGGCCCATTCGGACTCGTCCGCTGTAGGGAAGCACAACTGAGGTGGCTATGTCTAGCGTATTCTTTTTGCCTTTCTGGGCAGAACTATGTATATAGAGTCCTTCATTTTGAGAGAATCCCAGGGTGTGTAGCGGTATGTTGAGGGCTGGAGCCAGTGTCGTTTTGCTGGCTTTCACCCAAGCTTGGCGCTGTAGCAACTGCTACATGTTGGCAGATTCATCTTGGATGTCAATGATTCATGAAGACATTCCGATCATGGGAGGTTCTTGGTGGGTCCATGAGTCCATGAGAATCTGCAGTTTGGCCATGCAGAGGGCATGGGTCAAAAACGAACACAGCCGATTTTGGGCAACGAAAACACCTCTTTGACCCATATCCAGGTATCAACCGAAGTGGCAACGATCCACACTGGTATCGCATGGTTAGGGCGGCTAGTTTCACCAGTTTTGGCCAGTTTTTGTGCCGTTCACATGGGAACAGGTGGGTGACCATGTGCGTTCACTTGCAAAGCAAGTGAGGTAGCCCAGCCGCAAGTGGAAAAGGAAGCTGCACAAAGTCTGGGGCAGAATTACCCACCTTGTGCTTGGGACAACAGAATTACCCACCTTGTGCTTGGGACAAAAGAGTGTACAACATATACAATACATAACCTTATTGTGGAATTAACAAACTGCAAGAAAAGACAGGGCACATTGTTGCACCAATGTTCTTGTCGGGTCCATTTAGTCTGATTTGCCTGAAGCCTCGCATTAAAGAAACCTCGATGTGACAGGTCGTTAATTACATGTCACGAACATGTGTTGCAAAAATGTGTTTCGGTTCGTTTGGCTGATCTTGAGAAAGCTGTGCCTCTCAATCATCCAAGGGTGAATGTATTTGCTTCTCAAAAGCTTCGTCTACAACTGCCTGAGGTTTGGTCCTGGAAGGCTCACCCATATCTTGGCTCACCATCGACTAGAGAAACACACAGAAACGCGTTTTTTCAGCAGAGCTGGCAAGGTGACATCGGGCCAGCAAGTCTTCCGACAACAAGCGGTGCAAGATTCTTACTGAAACCACACCTCCGCAAACAACCTCCAAACACCAAGCAGAGCTTCCAAAATGGCCCTTCAACGGATGTCAACCTGTGACGGCTTTACAATCCAAATCAAACGATGTGTCTCTCATTCAGTCACAATTGAAGTTTCTCTATATACATGTCTTCTCCAAGGTGTTGCTCATCACCAACAGTTCGAACCCGGGCAATGCTTTTCCGAGTACGACTTGTTCATACTCATCTTCCTGGTGCTGGGCACTAGCTATACACTATGCTGCCAGCTTTAGGAGGAAACTCAGGTGACCTCAACGCAGTTTTTTCAGAATCTGAGAATCATCGGAACTTCCACGCCGAACTCCGATGACTCTCTCGGCAGCCAAGTTCGGCGAGTCAAAAAGAAAAGAGCACAAAGGGAGAATGCAGATGGACAATGCACACGTTCTCAGAGCGACCCTTGTTGCATCTCGCGTCGCCAGCTTGATCTCCCCACCTCGATGCCAGCTCCGCCGAGTTGCTCGCGGGGCTGCGGGGCAGCGGGCGGGCCTGGCGGGGTTGGCGAAAGGGCAACAGTGGGCCGACGTCGCCGCCGAGGAGAGCACCGCCTTCAACTTAGTGAAGCGTTGGAGTCGGGGACCCTGGAGCAGCGGCGAGGTCGTCAGCGCGAGCGAGGGACCAGCTCGGGACCTGCTGTCCACCTTGGCCTGGCGATGGGCATGGGTGAGTTTTGGTGTGTAGAGAGTCTATATTGGTGACCTGCTGTCATGATGAAAGTGCTTGGCATGGGCGTGTGGCATGGGTCACTTCAGATTCTGCGCGGCGTGGGTCTCTTCAGGATTCAACCTCCAGGTAAGAACACGTTTTTTGCGGAGCTGATTCAGGTTCGGAGTTGGCCCTCATTTCCTTCCAGGAGGAAGGGAAAGTGAGAGGAAATTTGAGGTTTTTGGGAAGACCGACGCGCCGGAAATGACCCGTCTGAAGGTCGCGGGAGAGCCCCTCATCCTCGGTGGTCCGGTCCTCATCTGTTCGACGTCCGAAACGCCCAGCTCAGGTTTGAAGGATGTGGCTGGGGTTCTTTGCTGGTGCGCCGAGATCAATGCATGGAGAGCCCAGTCACAGCGAAGTCGTGGTTTCAAGTGGCTTGCGATGGAAGTTGAAGGTTTACACATGTTTTAAACAATTTTACACATCAGCATTTGTGAAGCTGATTCATTCTGTTTATGGTTTCATAAACTGTGAGCAGGTTGCCTATCCTTTCAACCTAAGCGGATCAACATGTGGTTTGTAGGACTATATATATTATAGTCATGGTTGGATTTGAACTGTTTCAGAATCCAATATGAGTGCTTCTTCGTGAATGCTTCTCTTGATGGGGGTTTCCCAAGCGATGACTTGGGATAGACGTACAGCTTGTGCTTCAGGGGTCTTTTCATCCGCTGGCAGGTTTCCCAGGCGTGGCCTTTTTCTGAGAGCTGTGCCTTCATGGCATCAATGACGAGCCATCTCATGTACTATAGTATTGAGTACCCTTTGCCTTAGAACCAACTGCGATTTCCAACGTTCCACAGTCTTTGATGTATTCGAAAGGACAAGCAAGCCGAACAATGGAGCTTTCATCAATTCAACAGCCAAATCCATATCCAAAAGTACTCGGTCCAAGTGTCGACAAAATCAACATTCCAACCCACAGGATCTGCAGAACTCACTCGGTCCAAGTGTCCCATGTCACCAAGGCGCTCTATGCTGCAGATCATTTCACCGAGCGATTCTGGGGCTGGCGCATTCTCGACGAGCTGGAGGTGAAGACGTGCCTCGTTAGCGACATGAGTGAAGCGCGATGCCTTTTGCCAGTTGAAGGTGGTATGGAACGAGGGAAAGATCCATACAAAACACATCAAAACACACAGATTGATAGAATGCTCGTGTGGGAAGGATAGGGTTACTTTACACATCTGTACACATTTCAATAGTTAGAAGCACCGCTGAAATACCCATTCAGAAATTCAGATATTTGGTCTCTCACGTTGATGCTGATTCTTATTGTCCGTTGTGCTGTTATATATACATCTGACAATTCAATATCTTTGTACTGTGAGGAGATTCCTTTGTCGAACAATCCTTTCAGCATTCATGAACAACACAAACGACCGAGCGGAGGCAGCAACATTTCGCAACCTACGTTGGGGGATCAGATGGCCCCAAACAAACGCTTCAAACCTCCACATGTCCTGTCTGGAGTTCCATGGTCAGCTTGCTATGGTTGCCTCTGGATGTTCCCCCGTTCGTCTCTTCCAGCCTTTGCTCTATGGAGATCGGAGTCCAGACTCGCTGGAACTTGGGTTACGTAGATGACACGGGCCTTCAAAAGAACATTTCAACATAGCAACTATAGGGGGTTGAACTCCACTTCCATGTTGCTTCCAGGGTATGAAAGAGATGCCTTCGAAGTGGTAGTGGAACGCATTGCCCACCCCCATCCTCCAGACACTTCTCCCATATGGAAGTCCTCCTTGCCTGCGGCCCGAGGACGGGCCACGGGGGGATGAAGCCCGAGAAGGCGCTCGAGCCACTTCACCTCCAAAGGGATGAGACGGACTGGGCGGGAATGTTTGGCAGAGCCTCCGACAGATGGTGTGAAGCGTAGAAAGAAAAGAAACACGAGATGATCAAGATTCGACCGTCATGTAACATGTATAATAATGTTACTTCTGATGATGATTGAAGCTGCTGGAATATCAATATCAGTTCATGAAGCACTGTGGCCCAAAAGATGTCACACCTCTGGTTGTCGACATCGGATCGGATGTGCTGAGGTTCAAGGTGGGCCACAGCAAGGCAATTCAGGCGCGCTCCGCTCCGATCGCCGATCCGGAGGGCAGCGGCGAGTCGTGGTCGTGGGAGAACACGGAGAGAGAGGATGGCAAAATCGCACATCAAGAGGCCATAACCCATCCCCGTGAGTTTCCACTCTACACCGTTCGGTAGCATATATACTTGTTGACTCAACCGGAGGGCAGCAGTACTCTGTGGAAACGCTTGGCATTTAACGAAATCCTGGGTTTGTGATTGAACTGCGTAGCGGACGAGTGCGGGATTTCAGTGGTTTTCAGTCATGCGGTCATGTTGAAACACCCTGTTGTGCATAGGGGTGTTGTGCATTGGTTGATCTTGCAAGCTGCGGGGTGTATATTTGGCCTGAACTCGTCCATGACCAGGCTGGAGAATCACCAGCTCCGGAGAATGGTTCAGATGAATTAAGCTATCCTAAATGGATTTAAAGGGACTAGTAGATGGTATGAGCGAACATTTCCGTGTTTTACCATTCTGAATGGTGGAATGTGATCAATGGAGATAGCAACGACCAGGCAGGGATTAACAGTTGCATGATGTTATGTGTCATGAATTGGGATGAACATGGCAGGACTCGCAAGAATTTGACTCTAAATGCTCACATCTTAATTATCCAATGGAAGGATTCGGAAGGCAATTTGGCAAGTCCTTTGCATACGGATAGCCCCTTTCTGTACTACTTGGTGCAAGAAGATGAATGAGAACCCGCTCACGAACCTCAGGGTTCACCAGATCCACCGCAGCGACCGTAGCCGTAAACACGGCGTGATGTCTCAGGTGATGAAATGGCTTGAACCCTTGCAGTACAGACCCCAGCAGAGCTGAGCAGTGGGCAGAAGGGCGGAGCGGCGGAGCTGGAGTCCTTTTTGGAAGACGAAGCAAATGATCCTCCTATTATGCTTGAAGTC